AATATAATACATATATATATATATATAATACAATATATATATATATATATATATATATATTGTAATACTATTTTTTATTTTAAGATTTAATTAGGCCGAGGTTGCTGATTTTTCAAGTTTTTGAAACACTAATGATTACGTAGGTCTGTTATAGAGTTACGAAAAATCACGAGTTCCTGCGCAATTTAAATTAGAAAGTCATTATCGATTTTGTAAACAAAACGTATTAAAAGTTTTTAAAAGATATTTATCTCTACAGTGTTATCATGTTTTAATCATTCTTGTGATATAAGTTTAATGTGAAACAAGGTATGTGATGTATAAATCTTCATATATTTTCTTCAGCTGATCAAGTTTCAACTCCTGAAGAAGAAAAGGCAGCCATGAAGATTCAAGCATCTTTTCGTGGATTTAAAGCTCGGAAAGAAGTGGAAAAGATGAAAATCGAGGATTCTTCACGAGTAAGACAAGGATATCATTACCACTTTCGACAGAAATACTATGTGTAAATATTTCGAGTAAGACAAGGATATCATTACACTTTCGACAGAAACACTATGTGTAAATATTTCGAGTAAGACAAGGATATCATTACATTTTCGACAGAAATACTATGTGTAAATATTTCGAGTAAGACAAGGATATCATTACACTTTCGACAGAAATACTATGTGTAAATATTTCGAAAAGCTAATAAAAAGTACATAAAACTCCCCAGAGAAGTTAATTAGCTCAACCAAATTAAATAACATCTTCTTTTTATAATATTTTCCGAACTACATTGATAAAAATAACAAAAATCTATCATGATGTTCCTGTAGTGTTTCAGCGGCAAGTCTAAAGGCTTATAACGCTAAAAACCGGGTTTCGATATCTGGGGTGGGCAGAGCATCGATAGCTCATTGTGTAGCTTTGTGTTTAACAACAAACAAATAAAAACCAAAACTGTGACGTATGAGTGTTTATTTCTTATAGAAATATATATATATATATATTTTAAGAATTAGCTGGGCAAAAGCTGGTTTATTTTAGGCTTTAAGAGAAGAATATGTTTTGGTAGGGTTAGCTGAAGATAGACATTTTGATAAACAAATTCAAGTCTGTGTGTCGAAGAAATGTCGACCTGAGCCAGTTTTACCGAGGTTTTCTTTTTAGCGCAAAGATACACAATGGGTCATCTGCGATCTGTCCACCTTCGGGAATCGAACTCAATATTTTAGCACCGTGAACCCGTAAAGTTACCACTGACCTACCTGGGGACATCTACCGAAGAATATCCGTTAAAAGAAAATACTGAAAAATGTTATAATGTTTAGAAACTTTAGAACGTGTTCATGAACTTTTAGTTGAAAACTTACAACAGAATAATATATTTAAAACATTAAATATTTTTTTAGTTAATATATTTTTGAAGGAGATATGTTACCTCTATTTTTCTATGTGTTTATGTTTTGTTGATTTATAGGCAATTTTGTGATATGAAAAAAAAATGCCTGTAAGTTTGATAGGTATTTTAAGCTTGAAAGATATTTTATGCGATACATGGGCTAAATGTCAAGACATTTGAGAATATATTTGCATGAGGAGTTTGATTCAATATTTAAAAAGTACTCCAACATTTATGGGAAAATAGAGATGCTGTCGCTTGGCTAGCAGTAAGTTTATGGACTTATAACGTTAAATTAATGGCAGATATGGGTGCTAAAGCCCACAATACCCCATATATAAATTTTTTCTTACAGTTTACAACTAGTTATGCGAAGATATTTGAGAATTCAGTTTAATTATTTCGCTTTTGCTAATATTATCATGACTAATTTGAAATTATAATGGGTGTTATTTGAAACACTCATTTCATTTACCATTTTTTCTATCCGCGGTGGGGCATGTATATTCTTTTTAGAAAACAAACAAACACATGCCTTCTTCATATTTATTTTTGCAGAAAGTAAATGGACATAAAGAAGATTCCTTTGGTTCTGATGATCCTCAACTTAGTGAAGCGGCAACCAAGATACAGGCCTCGTTTCGAGGTCATAAAGTACGAAAAGACCTGAAAGCTCAGAATGATTCGAATGAAGTGGCCAACAAGGACGAAACAGGTGATAGAAAAACTTAAACTGCCCAAATGAATGAAACGAATAAGCGTAACAGAATATGAACAAAATATAAGGTGTATAACCAGTGTCTGCCAATAACTTGAAAATGCCTAATAGCGTCTGAAAAAAACTTAACCTTATCTCCAATTAAAAAAAGGTGGGTAATCAAACACAAAGTTTCCCTTGGTATTTATGTAAACCATTACTTATTTGTAACATCAAGTAGATTTAATAACTGATTCTTCTGTTTGTATAAAACTCGACAATCAATAATAGTGACACCAGGCGAGCAAATTAACATTTTCTGTTCTGTAATAATAAATTTCATCGGTTACTATATAAAAGAGGTTCATAGCCAAATAATTGTATCATTCGAAATACCATTTTATCCGACCACTAAGAATGCATGGTTAAAGAAATAAAATTTGTCATGTTGTTTTGCTATTTACATGATTAGAAAATACACTTGGTCATATACTCATTTTTATTATTTTGCCTTTATTTATTATACATTTTCTTATGGAGATTAGTTTGTATTGTTGGTTTGTACATTGATTTAGAACTAGCCTAAATCCTTAAAGCTGACCGAACCTTGGGAGACATTAATGGGAATATGGCCAAAAATATCAATAAGAGCAAGGAATCGAACTGATGAACCAGTGCATTCTAAACAGTGATTATTCCTATTTAAACCGATGTATTAAATTAGCTACACCAGTTGTTGGGTTAGATCTTAGTTCCGGTCAATGTAGGTAGCTAGCTTTGATATGGTTAACAGAAACCCCTGTTTTTCTGTAATAATCGAATTGTAATGGCAGGATCATTAAATCTTATGGATTTAACATCCTAAAATTCTTTAAGGATACTTGTAGTTATGTGCTATAATTATGGAAAGGACAAAAAATATCTAGTCTATAATACATGCATTATAACATTAGAATATTAACCCAATATGATTCTAGTCTATAATGCAGGCATTATAATATTACAATATAACTCAATATGATTCTAGTCTATAATGCATGCATTATAACATTAGAATATTAACCCAATATGATTCTAGTCTATATGCATGCATTATAACATTAGAATATTAACCCAATATGATTCTCGTCTATATGCATGCATTATAACATTAGAATATTAACCCCATATGATTCTAGTCTATAATGCATGCATTATAACATTACAATATTAACCCAATATGATTCTAGTCTATAATGCATGCATTATAACATTACAATATTAACCCAATATGATTCTAGTCTATAATGCATGCATTATAACATTACAATATAACTCAATATGATTCTAGTCTATAATGCATGCATTATAACATTAGAATATTAACCCAATATGATTCTAGTCTATAATGCATGCATTATAACATTAGAATATTAACCCAATATGATTCTAGTC